GCTTCCCTAATTCGATGTTTTAATAAGATTAGATTAGTTGTCCGGTCGGGCAAGTAAAATTCTCTTTCACTTGCCCCTTCAAAAAAAGCACACAGATCATCAAAAGCATTCTCTCGCGCACACCTGCTGGTCGGTCTGTGCACCCCAGTTTGGGAACCGCTGCGCTAGATTAAATCACACGCTAATGGGAGACTCCATATTGAAAGTACTTTTAATTGAGGACTAATTGTAGCTTGCATCCAGGAAACAGATCCATGTACATTTCCTCTATTCAAGCTTTTTTCATATGACGGAATATGTACACTATCATTCAAAAGTTTTTACCACATTTCATTTTTCCTTCTATTATGGCTATAAATGATAAAATCAGTAGTGAGCGAATGAGGACAATTACAAATGCTTCTTAGAGAAGCCACAACATGTCGTGTAGATAATTAGCTTTACGGGCATTTTCTCCCTATTGTCTGCTGAGTTCAGTGTGCGGCACGCAGCAAACACAGGCTGCACTTGTGCACTGATCACAAACTGCTATCTGTTAATATTGGCCCTGAAATGAAAACATGCTACAGACGCCTTAATCTGAGCATTAAGAGCTGAAATCTCCTCTGAAATAACAAGAACAACCAATTAACAAAGCAATGCACAATGCATATATTATGAAACACATTAATATAATGAAAAACAAAGCCAGCAACCAAGAAGAAAACCCTTTAAAATAACTACAAATAGTAACAGTAGAAGCCATTATGAACTTTATCATGTGCTGCAATATCTTACACAGCACTTCAGCTCAGAATAGCTCACAAACACCCAGAGGAGAGAGAAAGCCCCGTTAGAGTCTGAGTGGGCTGATTTAGCCTAAAAAGGAGACTCTTTTTCTCTGAAATGCTTCCATTCCTCTCCGGCATCCCAGACTCCTCGTCTGCACAGGGATGTCCCTCAGCGCTGTATGATCTCCGGCCAACACGCCGGCTCGCCGCAGGGCTCAGGGACGCTTCCAGCTTTCTTAGAATGAAAGTCTTACGAGAGACAGTCGAGAGATACAACGCTGGAACAAGATTCACATGTGAACCTCAACCGCTCTCTCACATTTAAACACCAGCGAGCTGCTTTGACATTGTCTGCACTGGAAGCATCTCAACAAGATACTCTAATGTGCGCTAAAATGCATGATACACAACAATAGTGTGTAAAAGTGTCCATTTCTGAATTTTACTGTCTATTTAGTAAGCATCTCACTAGGGTTTGGGAAAGACATTCTTTTTCTTTAGATCAGGGATTACCAAAGTTTTTTTTCTTTGAGCTAATATATATATATATATATATATATATTAGCTCAAAGAAAAAAAACTTTGGTAATCCCTGATCTAAAGAAAAAGAATGTCTTTCCCAAACCCTAGTGAGATGCTTACTAAATAGACAGTAAAATTCAGAAATGGACACTTTTACACACTATTGTTGTGTATCATGCATTTTAGCGCACATTAGAGTATCTTGTTGAGATGCTTCCAGTGCAGACAATGTCAAAGCAGCTCGCTGGTGTTTAAATGTCAGAGAGCGGTTGAGGTTCACATGTGAATCTTGTTCCAGCGTTGTATCTCTCGACTGTCTCTCGTAAGACTTTCATTCTAAGAAAGCTGGAAGCGTCCCTGAGCCCTGCGGCGAGCCGGCGTGTTGGCCGGAGATCATACAGCGCTGAGGGACATCCCTGTGCAGACGAGGAGTCTGGGATGCCGGAGAGGAATGGAAGCATTTCAGAGAAAAAGAGTCTCCTTTTTAGGCTAAATCAGCCCACTCAGACTCTAACGGGGCTTTCTCTCTCCTCTGGGTGTTTGTGAGCTATTCTGAGCTGAAGTGCTGTGTAAGATATTGCAGCACATGATAAAGTTCATAATGGCTTCTACTGTTACTATTTGTAGTTATTTTAAAGTGTTTTCTACTTGGTTGCTGGCTTTGTTTTTCATTATATTAATGTGTTTCATAATATATGCATTCTGCATTGCTTTGTTAATTGGTTGTTTTTGTTATTTCAGAGGAGTTTTCAGCTCTTAATGCTCAGATTAAGGCGTCTGTAGCATGTTTTCATTTCAGGGCCAATATTAACAGATAGCAGTTTGTGATCAGTGCACAAGTGCAGCCTGTGTTTGCTGCGTGCCGCACACTGAACTCAGCAGACAATAGGGAGAAAATGCCCGTAAAGCTAATTATCTACACGACATGTTGTGGCTTCTCTAAGAAGCATTTGTAATTGTCCTCATTCGCTCACTACTGATTTTATCATTTATAGCCATAATAGAAGGAAAAATGAAATGTGGTAAAAACTTTTGAACGATAGTGTACATATTCCGTCATATGAAAAAAGCTTGAATAGAGGAAATGTACATGGATCTGTTTCCTGGATGCAAGCTACAATTAGTCCTCAATTAAAAGTACTTTCAATATGGAGTCTCCCGTTAGCGTGTGATTTAATCTAGCGCAGCGGTTCCCAAACTGGGGTGCACAGACCGACCAGCAGGTGTGCGCGAGAGAATGCTTTTGATGATCTGTGTGCTTTTTTTGAAGGGGCAAGTGAAAGAGAATTTTACTTGCCCGACCGGACAACTAATCTAATCTTATTAAAACATCGAATTAGGGAAGCACCAAAATTTCGGCGAGAATGATTCTGATTTTATTACACTTGGTGTA